CCAGTACAAAAAAAAAATCTACTCTTTAAGTCACAACCACTGAAATTTTTTAGCAACTGAGCTGCCTCCCAGAGCCAGGGACTCTGTGCTCACTTATCAACAAGACAGTACTCCTCCACCTGTTGGGCAATGGGTGAGCCAGTTCCAAATCCATTCTTACTGCTTCTTTTCTTGGGCCACTTGTTAGACCAGGTGTTCCAAGAGAAAGATGGCAACATGTAAGAATTTTATTAGGAGAAAAGCCTGTGGGAGAAGATGGTAAGCGAGCCACAGGAGTTTGGGGAGCTTTTCCACCATCATGGCGCTGAACATGAATGAAGGGAAAGGGAAGAAGGGTTAGATGGAGGCTCTGCAGTTTGAGGAAAGTTTGGAAAACCCTTGACTGCAGCTGGGGAGTCCACCAGCCACAATCAGCTGTCAGATGAGTGCTGGCACCCCAGGAATGGTCCTACTCTAGTATCCCACCATTTTCAGTCATTGACTGGGAGCTTCCCGTAGAAGATGCTGTGGCTTTGGTGTAAACATGGTAGTTTAATCAGCTTTCTTGCAGCTGTGACTTAAAGACCCAACCAGTATAATTGTAGGGGAGAAAAGGTTTATTTGAGGGCTCACAGTTTCAGAGGTTTTAGTCCCTAGAAGACTGGCTCCATTTCTCGGGGCTCGAGATAGGGTTGAACATCATGGTGGAGCATGTGGCAGAGGGAAGCAGCTCACATCATGGTGATCAAGAAGCAGGGAGAGACTCCACTCTCCAGATACAAATATATACCCAAAGCCACGCCCCACCTCCCACCTCCTCCAGCCACACCCTACCATTTCAGTCAACACTCAGTTAATCCCTACCAGGGGATTCCATCACTGATTGTGTTTAGACTTTTTTGAACCAATCATTTCCCCCTGTGAACCTTCTTGCATTGTCTCACACATGAGATTTTTGGGGACATCTCACATCCAAACCATAACACATGGCAAAAGCTTTCTGAACTCAGCCACTGGATCCCTTGGCTGATGTTCTGTTGTTAGAAGTCTGCAAAATGGTGCTCATGGTCACCATAGGCTGCAACACAGAGTAAATGGCCACTTGCCTACACCATGTCCCCTGCCTCTTCATAAAACTTACATGACAAGTGGAAAACAGAAAAAGCAACAACAAATAAATTAGACCATTTCACTTGGTGATTGAGTGTATGAAGAAAGTGAACAGGGTTCTGAGATCAAGAGTGACAGGGTATGTGGTGGGTCTGTTGTGGATAGTGTTGTGCCCCGAATGAAGAGTGAACGGAAGGGCTGAAGAAGACCAGGGCATGGGCCCTGAGGAGGCCTACACGGAGGACCAGAAGCAAGTCAGCAGGGCTGGGTGTGTGAGCTGGGGAGGGAGACAGGGCCTGTGATCAGGGGGAAGGTGGCCCAGAATTGGCAGGTTCCCAGAGTGGAAGCCTTTCATGGAAAGGCTTGATGTGATCTTTTATGTTTTAAAGAATGGGCTCCAGGGGGCCACAAGAGAAGAGTGGTACAGTGGCCTGGAAGAATGATGATGGGGACTTCGATTGAGGTAGTGGCCATGTAAGAAGTGATTAGATCCTGACATATAAAAAAATATATATAATATAAAATATATATTTATTTTAGTTGTAGGTGGAAACAATACCTTTACTTTATTTATTTATTTTTATGTGGTGCTGAGGATCAAACCCAGGGCCTCACATGAGGCCACAACCCCAGCCCCTGATGTATTTTAAAGGCAGTATGGACAGGATGTGCTGATGGATTGAGTTTAGATGCTGAGAGACAGAGAAGGACGAAGATGTCTCCAATGCTGTTGGAATCTAAGTGGTGCCAAGGTGGGAGGAAGAAGCAGATTTGAAGAAGCAGGTTTGGAGGGGGAAGAATAAAAATTGAGATTTTGTTTTCAACTGGTTAGGTTTGAGATCTGTGTGTTACACTTCCATGTGGAACACCAAGGCAGAGGATGATGAAAAAAGATGGCTGAGGAGAGATGGGTATGGTGGCATATGCCTGTGATATCAGCTGCTTAGGAGGCTGAGAAAGGAGGATCATGAGTTCAAAGCCAGCCTCAGCAAAAGCAAGGTGCTAAGTAACTCAGTGAGACCCTGTCTCTAAATAAATAAAATATAAAATAGGGTTGGGGACGTGGCTCAGTGGCTGAGTGTCCCTGAGTTCAATCCCTGGTACCCTGCCACCTCTCCTAAAAAAAAGATGGCTGAGGAGAAAACTTTGGGGAAAACCCTTATTTTAGTTTTCTCCAAAGCTCATGTCGTTAGTTTAATGTGTCAACTTAACTAGCTTTAAATCAAACAGTGCTCTGTGTAGCTATAAAGATATTTTCTAGATATGGTTAATATCTACAATCAGTTGAGTTTAAATAAAGCAGATTCTCCTCAATGAGGTGAGTGGGCCTTATCAATCAGGTGGAGGTTTTAGAGCAAAACTTGCTATTTTCCAGAGAAAAAGTAATTCAGACTTAAGACTGCAGCACCAACTTTTGTCTGAGATTTCAGACACATATACTCATGCATGTGTGTACAGACACACATTCACATACATACACACAGAGAGACTGATATCCTACTGGTTGTTTTGTTTCTTTTTTTTTTTTTTTCTGTTTTCTAGAGATGCTGACTGATGAATTGGAGGAAGGCATAAAGACCAGCGAAGAGGGGGGATGGATGAATAGTGGGAAGCAGAGACTCTGAAATGTGCTTGATCAGAGGCCACAGATGGCAGTTTCAACGAAAGCTTGGTAAAAAAAAAAATCAAACAATAAGGAGAAGACTGAGAATATAGCTCAGTTGTAAAGTGCTGGCCAAGCATGTTGAATCCCTGGGTTCAATCTACAGCATGAAAAAAAATCATAAAGAGAAGTTAAAGAAGATGGAAACTGGAAAGTTTGGTCATGAAGAATTCTATTTTCAAATATCTGCTTATCATCTGAGTCTCTATTATTTCCGGTTTACCTCTATCTGAAATAAAATTGGAGGTAATGTCTTTTCTTAACTATTACAGTCTTTTTCATCTGGTGGAGGCCGGAGACCAGAGGATCTTGCTGCCTTGAAAAATTTCTCTTGCGAATGTTTGCTCAGACCTCAGACCTCATCATCAAAGTGTTCTGCCTTTGATTAAGGTGGTGTCTTTTTACAAGATGCAAATGGCCTTTGGAGGAATAAAATGTAACTCCATAATTATCTACCAACATGAAATAATCAACTAGTGAATAAAATATGGGAGGAATGGCTGAAGCAAGTTGGAGTAGGATTTTGAGGCTGGTGGGGATGTGAGGAAATTAAAACACTATGTGGGCAGTGGCATGGCTTAGGTATGGTTTGAGTGCGTTCCCTGAGGGTTCATAGGTTTGGTCCTTAGTGAGGTGATGTTGGGAGGTGGTGGAAATCTTAGGTCATTGGTGGTGCTTCCCTCAGCAGGGATTAGGGTGGTTCTCATGAGACCATACGTTAGTTCCTGGAATAGTGAGTCTGACTCCCAAATCACTCTTTGGCTTTTGTTGGGATGCAATTTTTTACTCCCATGTGTGCTCGCGTTTTGATACCATCTGCCATTGAGTCCTCACCAGAGGCCAAGCCAAAGGAGCTGCCCAGCCTTGAACATCCTCCCTCTAGTCTTTGAATTAAATGAACCTCTTTTCTTTTTCTTTTTTCTTTTTGGTACTGGGAATTGAACCCAGGGGAACTTTACCACTGAGTTATATCCCCAGCTCTTTTTATTTTTTATTTTGAGAAAGCATCTTGATAAATTGCTGACACTGGCCTTTCATTTGGGATTCTCCTACCTCAGTGCCCCCACTGGGATTACAGATATGTGCTATCATGTCTTGCTGAACCTCTTTTCTTTATAAAATAGTCCACCTCAGGTATTTCATTATAACAATAGAAAACTGATAGAGATACTTAACAAAAACCTTTGCTAGGATAGTCAAGAGGTCATATCCAGAAAGCAAGAGAGGGACTTTTCAAACAGTTTATTTCATAATTTTTGTCCATAACAATTCTTGTTCTTAAAACCAGGTAAAATAAAAACAATAAAACGGGCAAAACTACCTGAAATCTCTTTTCCAATGCAAAACTGGTTTTCTCTTAAAAGCACCCAGGTGGGAGTGAAAGAACTTAATGATTGAAGAGGGACCAGTTCCTCTATGAGATGAAATTCTTTTTCCTTGGCAGAAGTTATTCTTCCATTCCTTTTTATTATTAAAGAAGACACTATTTTGTCTCTCTCCATTGGATCACTATGGATGATTAATATAGGACCTCTTAGTTATCTGAGCTCCTACCAGAGTAAGTTCTTCATCAGTGTTGGCTGTATGGGCCAATAATGGCAGCTCTTAAGACAGTATGCAGTTGGTTGTTCTAACTAAAAGTTGAGAGATTTAGTCTGTAACTTGAATGGTATAGCCATTCAGTTTCTCCCAATAGGGTCTTCCCACTGAGTAATAATGTGGCAATGGAGAATAGGATAAAATAATTTATTTTGGGCTGGGGTTGTGCTCAGCGGCAGAGCGCTCGCCTAGCACATGCGAGGCCCTGGGTTCGATCCTCAGCACCATATAAAAATAAACAAAATAAAGGTATTGTGTCCAACTATAAATAAATAAATAAATAAATAAAATATTTAAAAAATAATTTATTTATAGAAAGATGATTTACTTTATTGATTCAAGCAACAACACCCATATAAAGAAAGATGATAAGAAAAATTTTAGCCAGATACAGTGGCACATGCCTATAATTCTAGCGACTCAGGAGGCTGAGGCAGGAGAATCACACATTCAAGACCAGTCTTAGTAACTTAGTGAGATTCTCAGCAACTTAGTGAGACCCTGTCTCAACATAAAATATTAAAAGGACTGAGGATGTACTTCAGTGGTAAAGTGCCCCTGCATTTTATCCCCATTAAAAAAAAAATAAGAAGAAGAAAGAAAAATTTAAATAGCACAAAAACTAATTACAAGAAATAAATGACATGAATAAATCTTCAAAATAAAATTTTATTACAAAATCTTTAAATACACTTAATATTCCATTAAGACAAAAGTTAGGATCTTACTGATCCTATGGATTCACAAGGGAACAAGTCAGGAATGTCAGTATGTTCTCTAGGTTGAATTGAATGCCACTCTGCTCATGAGGGTAGGGTCATGTGGTCTTTGTTGCTAATATTCTGACTTTGTTCCTTTCCTTAGCAGCAAAACCCAGCAGGAATACTACTTTTGGCTGCTCTGCAGAATAAAGTGAACTGCAGAATAAAATGACTACAACATGCAGAAGCAGAAACTTACCACAAGAGAGCGATATCTACCTTCAAGAAAGAAAAATCGTTCTGTGGTCTGCATTCTTGGTTTTTGAATAAAAGGAACTTGGAGAAGTGTTTTGCTTTCCTTCATCTTTACAGACACAGATAAAAATAAAAGTTGGAAATTGGTGCATGTTTTACAGAGCTCCTCAGTCTCTTTCAGGAAGCTGGGAAGTTTTATTAAAAATGGACTATTTCATTATAAGCAATCTACCATGTACCCTAATGTCTCATGATTCTGGGTTCATCCATTTCCTCAGAAGAAATGGAGCAGATGTGGGTGGGAGGTGTGAGTAGCACTTAGTCTCATTATTCTTGTAGGCCACTTGGTACCATGAAAATATCAAAGACCTTCATACCAGACCAACATGAATTCCAATTCTGGCCCTGACACTCGTTAAGTGCACGGTTATTTAAGTGATCTGTAGCCCTTAAATCTGTGTTTCCTAATCTGTAAATTGTGAGGATTAAATTAGATGTGTGTAAATGCCTTAGCCTAGTATCTGACACATGTGTTTGATAGGGCCATGGTAATTGCTGCTTGCTTATTTAATTCTGTTGTCTGTAGTATTTAGTAAATCTGGAACAGCAATCATCGAGATTTTGATGTTGGTCTCACATCAAAAACCTAGACAACCTGAGATACGTTGTTCTTTCTGATGATCTTTTTGAAAATTTAAACTGAAAAAGGAGATAAGTCTCATAAGGCATATGTACATCAAATAAACACAGATGTAAAAGCACTGAAAGTCCATTTGATAGACAAAGCAAAGGCATTTTTTTTTAACCTGGAAAAGATCAAGGGGAAAATAAAATTCTCAATGCAAACACAAGTAGCATTAATTACAATGGACATTTTATAATATGGAGGCACATGCCACTTTACATGCATTATGTAGATTCAACGTATCTCAATTATTTTTGGTTACAATATTCTGAAGAAAGCTAGAAAATACTCTTAAATACTAAGTCATAAGATGAACAATATTGAGAAATTGTGAAATATTTGGAAATATTTAGAAATTGTGCTGCTTGAACTTAAATCACAATTTGGTTTTAGAGGAAGATGGTGGTTTACATCATTGGAAGAACCCACACCCTAAGTTAAGCCCCCAACATACTGAAAACGATGAACGAATTCTCTAAATTCCATTTCCCTTGGGCACCAATTAGATTCTCTGGTATCCAGATGACTGACGCCTTAGGCGGATTGTATAGACACCTATACCCACAAGGCAGAGGCCAATCACGATGGCCCCAATCACTGGAAGCACAATTGTGTAGTCAGACGAACACTCATCCACTAAGAGAGAAAACAAATACAATATAGTAGGTAAGGTTTGGTGACGACAGACCAGAAAGGAGAGTGGAAAGGACATGAGTGTTGGAGTCAAACACATCCGATTTCCCTGTGTGTGTGTGTGTGTGTGTGTATGCGCAGTTTGCACCCTGCCTTTATGCGTGGCAAGCAAATGCTCTACCGCTGAGCTACATTGCTAGCCTCTGGTCTTGGCTTTTAATTATATCATTAATTAGCTGTGTGATCTTAAGTAATTTACCCTTATAATTCTCTCATTTATAAAGTAAGCAGATAATATATGAGATTATTGGTTGATTAAGTAAAATAACCTTTTTTTCCTCAGCTATAAATATTCAATCATTGTTAGCTCTATTTCCTGAACTGGCCAAGAAGTAATCCCACATGTGCTCCCTGTAAAATGGGATGTGCCTATGGAAAAGATAATTTGTGTCATAGGATTCTAGATGATCTCTTGAAAACATGGGATGTTTATCCACTTTTAAAACATTTTTTATCACTCCTAAGGTTTTCTTGTATCACTTAAACTAATTTTTTTTTAAAAAAAGACCAATTAAAAGCAATATCAAAAAGTTCAAAAGTAAAAGTTTATAAACTTGTCAACACTGTTTTTTCTTTATTCCATCAGAGAGTACCTATTCAATTCATTTAAAAAAAAAAACAGCTAGGTCAGAGATTAATCAATCTTGGCTGAAGAAGAATGGAAGGACCTGGGGATTAAGGAGAACTTGATAGAATATTCAGTGTAATAAAGAGTTTGAGAGAAAAAAGCAAATAAGTGGAGAACTATATATCTTACTCATAGATAAGATACATTTATATATATAGATATATCTTATTTATCTTACATACCATATCTAAAGTATGATATATGTGTGTGTGTATACACACACACACACACACACACATATACAAATTGTGTCCTGAACCAAAGATCACCATTCACCCACTCCTATGTACCTGATGTCCAAGAAAAAAAAGATCAAGAGAGGTCAGGCAGGGAGATTTCAGAATAAAGAAAATTAATATAAGAAAGAAACTGTATTTGTGGTACACTATTTGATTTGCAATGGGCAATATTTATGTAATTATAATAACACGTGCTTTAGTAATTAACCAGAAATAGTGGTATAACCATAAATCCTTTACCTGCTATAGCAGGAAACTGACCAATTAAGAAATATCGTGAGGACTGGGGTTGCAGCTCAGTGGTAGATGCTTGCCTAGCACTTGTGAGGCACTGGTTTGATCCATAGCATCACATAAAAATAAAAGGCATTATGTCCATCTACAACTAAAGCAATATTAAAAAAAAAGAAATATCATGATACAATTTTTTTTAACTTTTTTAGAATTATGGAGATAAATATCAGAGGAAGCTGTTAAAAGTAGTTAAAAGCACTTTATCTCTCGAGGGTTCAGCAGAGAAATGATGCTTTTCATAACCCCTTTTGTAGTAAATGAGACTTTAGTTACTTATAGATAAATGAGAAAACGAATTTTGATAAGAAATTAAAATGAGTGGAAAAAATAAAAAACATACTTGTTGATCTAATAAATCTATCTCTAGGACTTCATAGTAAAGATATGTTCAGGGGCTGCGGTGGTAAATGAGTCCAGCCTGTGAAAAGCCCTGGGTTTGATACCCAGTACTGGACAAACAAGAGATATGTTCATACAACCATTCTAAGAGACTCTATCAGAAATTTAAACTGATATTCATACAATGGAATATAATGTAGCCACTAAAAAGAATGTGGTAGTATGTGTGCCTAGCATGCACAAGGCCTTGCACCTTCACCCCAAAATATAATGTGAAAATTCTCAATGTGGCAACTAGAAGTTCCCTAAAGACCTTCAAAGGATATTAAGAACCCAAACAAACGTACAGTGTATCTGATGTGAAAAGATATACAAAAACCTGAAAAAAGGACTGTGGTGAAAGTGGAGGGCAAATTTTACTTTCTATATTGTTTTATTTAGTTTAACACTTTTAAATATATTTAAAATGTAGAAAAATTTACAAAGAAAAATAGCTATCTAATTACTACATTTGGTTTGAATGAATCACTGTAAATCTTGGTAGACATTTGCTTCCTATGTGCATGTGTATGTGTGCTCATGCACGTGCTTAAATAAAAATCATTCTATTTTAAATAATCTATACTCACTATAAGTGATTAAAACAATTACGAAAAGTACAAGTAAAAAAGTAAAAACCTATTACCTCAAAACTACTCACCCAGAAATAATTGTTAACTTGAACAAGCCCTGTTTCAGGCATCTTTCTTTAAAACTATAAGAATTGATGGGCAGAAAAATGAGCAAAGTACTTTTACCAAAATAGGATCATGCAAGTGCTATTTTACTAAAGCTCTTGATTTTTATTTTACTTGAATTTAATAGAAGAAAAAACACTAAGATGAAATGGGAGGAATTATTGAATGACAGTGTTTATTTGTCACAGGAAGTACTGTTTTATAAAGGATACCTTTAAAGTTCAAAAAAGAGATTATGAAATACACATTAGATGATTATGAAATGCATTGATGTTATGAAATAAATCAGAGTCATGGGTTTTCTAAACCCTGTTTCCAAATTTAACCATTATCTGTTGATACCATCTTTAAAGATCAATATTAATAGATTCTCTCCCATCTCTTTTGTCCAACTCCAAATTTTGAATAATTATATTATTTATTTTTTAAAAATCACTGTTCAGGCTCATAACATTTCAGTTCTATTCTGTAACTATGATTCCTATAGTCTTCAAAAAATGTGTTGTGGGGGCTGGAGTTGTGGCTCAGTGGTAGAGCACTTGCCTGGCATGTGTGAGGCCCTGGGTTCAATCCTCAGCACTGCATATAAATAAATAAATAAAACAAAAGATCCATTTACAACTAAAAATATTTTTTAAAAAATATGTTGTGTTGGGACTGGGGATATAGCTCAGATATATATGGTAGAGTGCTTGCCTCACGTGCACAAGGCCAGCACCACACACACATACACACACACACAAAAAAATGTGTTGTGAAGATAGAATATATTCAGATTATTTAAAACGTTAAAATAAAACAAGATGTTGTGCATTGAGAAGTTCCTCTTTAACCTCTTCCCCCATCCCCATTAGACAACTACTTTTTAAAAATTTTCTTATATGTAGTTCCAATGTTTACTTGTGCACATATTAACAAAAATGAAAAAAAATCCTTTTATTTCTCTTTTTTCTCAGTATTATGAACTATGCTTTTTGATTTAGCAATATATTTTGGGGGCTAGAATGGTGGCTCAGGGCTAGAGCACTTGCCTAGCATGTGTGAGGCATTGAGTTTGATCCTCAGCACTACATATAAATAAATAAATAAATAAATAAATAAATAAAGGCCCATCGGCAACTAAAAAAATATATGTTAAGAAATAGTATATTTTGGATAGTTTTTCCTTATTCATATCTAGCAGCCTCAGTTTTTATAGGTATTTTGTATTTTGTTGGGGATATCCTAGTTTTTAAATCTGTTCCCAGTTGATGGATCCTTGTTTGTTTGTTTTTTTTTTGTTTGTTTGTTTTTTATTGTTGTTTTCTTTTTGTGGTGCTAGGGATTGAATCCATTTTGTTTGCATGGGAGGCAAGCATTCTACCAACTGAGGTATATCCCCAGCCCTTCCTTTTTTTTGGCCAACTTTTTCTATTGCAAATAATACTGTAATGAGTAACATGTACAAATATGGTATCATATACCACAAGGTATATTTATATTCCCAGATCCATAATTGGTTAGTACTTTTTATATTTGTATGAATAAAATGTTCAACAGCATTTGTGTGTGTGTGTGTGTGTTAGTGATTTTCCTATTCCTGAAGCCTATTTGTTTGTTTCCTTGTTTGTCTTATGGCTCATCTCCTATCTGGCTAAGTTTCACTGTCAAACATTATCTTTAGAATGGCTTATTGGTGCTGTCAACATCCTTGGATTTAGTCAAGGCTGACGACATCTGTTGATTGCGTTTATACCTAAATATTAATTTTGGATTACACTTTCTTTCCCTAAGAACTTGGTAGGCACCAGTTCATTGTTTATTGGTTTTAAATGATACTGTAAAAAAATCTGAGGCCAACTTTAACTCCCCCATTTATAAGTGATTCTCTATCCCCCTACAAGTTCTATAGCTTACTTCAGATATGTCCTAGACTTTCTATATCAATTATTTTCTGTGATACACTGTGCTCTTTCAATCCCAGCTCCAATTACTTATCTCAAAAAAAATTCTTCTGAATCTTCAAATATATCTTCATTCTATTTTTGAGCTCTCTCAGAGGTACCAAGTATCATTACATTGGATGGCCTGAATAGCATCTCTATTTAGTATCTTTCACAGGATGCTTTATTTATGAGGTTTTGTCTACATTAACTGTGATTACCTCAGTCTTTCTCGCCATGAAAATGATATTTCAGATATTTCAGTCCTACCTATTCTATTCTTGCTGTTTCTATATAATATTGAGTGATACTGCTTTGATATTCTTAGAAGTGAAATGTCCTTTTATCTTACTTCTTCATTTAACACCTCATCTTTGAACTCTGCTTACATAGAATCACCTTCTCAAATGAGTCTCAGTAAAAAAGCAATTGTCAGGGATTTCTTTCTGTTCCTGAGTTTTCTTTGTCTTTTATCAAATGTGTCCATTTCTATTCTCTGTCACAGGCTAACTGTCTTCTGTTCCCATGCATAGGCTGAAGTCCTAACCCTGGAACCACAGAGCATGACTATATAAGGATATACTGTCTCTTAAAAAAATGAAGTTAAAATGAGGTCATTGGAGTAAAATCCAATCCAATATGAATGGTGTCCTTAGAAGGAGATGACATTGGGCATATAGGTATGAAAGGAAGGAAGGATATATAGGTCTTCTTTGTGAAGACCTGGGCTACTTGCAGCCAAGGGGAGAGGCCTCAGAAGAACCAACACTGTTGACACCTTGCT